TGAATTTTGCCCATTAATCCTTTGGGGCCTTATCTAAAATTATTTTGCATTTAGCTTTGTCAGAGATAAACAGAAGAACTTTTGCATCAGTAGATTTTACTTTGTAAATTTTTTCACATAAGCCTTTCCCCAACTTGTGAACACTGAGTCACATTTTTTTCTGATCTTTGAGGAGCAATGTCCCTTAAAACATAAGGAACTATAAATCTATGAACTAAATTTTTTCTTTATTAAAGAGAACGGTTTATTGAATAAACAATAAGTTAGGTAGTTGTAGAAGATAATGTTTTCCCCAGTTTTTTCATTTGTACTGTATACTGGGCACAATGAGGTGTGTTTTACTTATAAAACCAAGCTAGAATAAATAATAAATAAATAACAAGATTAAGAGCTTACAAACCAAAAATTTGCTGCCAGCTTCTTTGCTGTGGGTGACTTTGACAACTTGGGTGACTCAAATTTCTTTCTGACTCATAGACAAATGGGTTGTGAATACTGTGGCTGTGGCAGTACCAGGAATTTAGAATATTTAATCTATTAGAACTCTTTTGGTTTTGTTTTTTCCCCCTCCGTAGATAAAAAGAATCGTTAACCCATTATTAAATTGAAACATATGGTGATTTTCAAATTTAAACATGGTAGAGAATTTTAAATTAACAATGAGGTCTAAAGTTGAAAACTACAGTAAGAATATATATGAAATACTAGAAATGCTTACTTAAGGGGTGTGTTTGAAAAAGCAAGCATTATAATTAGAGATTTTATAATTTTTAAAACAATTATCAGAATCATGATGCATTTCTTTCTAATCATTTTCCCTAATAACCTTTTAATATACATAACACATAATAATAAAATATAACTGTGTATTCTGAATTTTCACCTAACAATATGCCCTACCATTTTTTCCCTACCATTAAGTTGGCTTCTAAAAATTATTTTAATGATTTCATAATAGTTTGTCCTGTAGATAAGTAATCTTGTTTACCCTTTTAGCCCATTTCTGGTTGTTTTTTACTGTTATATATGGCACATTGATGCACAGCTTTGTATATAAATCTCTAAATGCATCTAGTAAGATACAGCTCTGGGAAAGGATCCTTGGGGCTAGATTACAAATGTTTTTTTTTTCTTTAAAAAGCCATTTTATTATGGTCAAAACATTTTTCTCAATATCAGGTTTTCTCTCCTCTTTATTTCCCCATTAGGTCTTAGCAAAGAAAATACAAGTCCAGAATGTTTTATACAAAAAGTACCTGAGCATACAAACAGAATATCTATTTATTGAACTGAATAATTTATCTTTATATTCCCAAACACTTTGCAAAGAAGTGTGTTATTTCCAAACCTCAAATAGTAGAGTTGGTTCCAAAAGCCTTGGTCATTGCTTTACGCAGAGACAGAGTGGAATGTGAAGAGAGCTGCACTGTAGGCATGTGACTACATCATGGCCGATGGAGGGTGGTGCTGGGTGCCCTGGCCTTTGGCACCAGCCTGTTTGCCTTTGAATCTCATCTCAGCGTTTCTACTTGCCAGTCATGTCCCTTAGGCAATTAATTTCTTTATGTCACAAATTATTATCTATAAATTAGGGCTGGCAGTAATACTAACTAGCAGGGTTTTGAGGATTAAAAATAAATATGTATTATATTTAGACAGTGCCTGATGTAAGCTGTACTACATCAAGTGCATGCTATAATTATTTGGTCTTTGTCGCCAAGACATGGTTTTTACTCGACATGAACATTGATAAAAGACATACAGCATTCCTGTAAGATACACAGCACCACTCCAAATGGCCTGATTGCTGATTGGGGATTACAAATGTTTTTAATGCTCTTGATAAGTACTGCTGAAATGTTTCGCAGAAAGGCGATACCAATATGTAATAGCATTATAAATTGCAGTCTCATGGTATTTGAGAACAAAATTATATTCAGATGATACTGTCTTTCTTGTAATTATGAGTCACCTTGCAAATTACCACTTGTTCCGATCGATGGCACATGCACTTTCTGAGCAGCACTTCAAAACATTCAAATAAGTGCAAAATTGGGTCTCTGAATGGTTTGCCTCAAAACAAGAAAAGTTCCATTGCAGTGGTTCTCAACCTTCCTAATGCCGCGACACTTTAATACAGTTCCTCATGTTGTGGTGACCCCCAACCATAAAATTACTTTCGTTGCTACTTCAAACATTGTTAAGCAAATAGAAATATAAAAATTAACAACTAATAAAATGAAAGGAAACCGTGAAGTCTATTAGCTGTTATAATAATTATGACCAAGTTGAATAAATTTAATAAAAAGACAAACTTATGGGGTTAAATCCAGCTATTTTATGTTGTTACAAGAATGAGACATAAAATAATAATTTGTAAGTAAAGGGGTTTTAAAGTCACAATTATGCAAACAAGAAGAGAGCAGGAGTAGAATTTTAATAACAATGAAATGGTGTTAGGGTAAAGAAGCAGATTTTATAATGGACACAGTCTTTAAGAGTATAACAACTAAATGTCATATAACATTTGAAATAAAATATGCAGGAAGTTTTCGGTTAGAGTACAACTTTGAGACATTTTAATACATGTTTTTGAAAATTAGGCTATCAGTTTAACATGAGTTTGGAATAAGGGATTTTAAATGAAAAATGAATACACTGATTTATTTCATAGAAATTTATATCTTGAAATCAGAGCAATGAAAAGGTTGATAAAAAGGAGTTATCATTAACACCAAGCTTAAAA